GTACGTATTTATGTTATATGGTGCACGTCATAAATTAGCATATGCTATATTGTGTACCATGCATTACTATGCAGAATTTTATTGCCACACAAGATGGCGCCTTCGCAACCGTTGCTATGTTCTTACGTCATATTGCGTCATCGCATAACATACGTATTCAACAAGCCAAATACGGAAATAACACCGTGTCCGCTAAACCAGGAAGATTGCTGGCAACGTCTAGCCTCTCGACGAGCCTCTCGCACTTGAACTGCTCGCCTTATTGCAAGTCGAACGAGTATGGACGTACAGATTTTTAACGAGTTCCATTGCAAGTTCTTGGCTTCCAATGACGATAACCAGTTGGTCCTGGACGATGCGGAGAGAGTAACAAGCAAGCGATTGTGGGAGTTTACAAGCGAGAATTTCATCATCAACCAGTACAACGGTCTCGCGCTGCAAGTTCAAGAAAACAGCCAGACGGTTGTGCTGGGTATACGCGCGAGAGTCAAGCATTCTCAAAGTGGATTCCTACCTCAGGAAATAAAATCCGCCTAGCCGCAGGCAGCAAGATGTACCTCTGCGCGCCGAACCCATCGGGAAACGTCGAAGTGAGATTTTGCGATAAAGCCGACGACGACACGAATGGTTTTAACGAATGGAAGCCTCTCTCTGAAAAAGGAGAAAATATTAGATTGCCTACCGAAGAGATAGATGCGCCTGATGACGATTCTCAGTATGGCTATCCAGTTCCGGGTAAAATGCAGCGTCCGACGTCAGCCATTTCAATGCAGGCCATGTTTTTCGTCAATGACAGCGAATGGGCGGCGCTGCGCTCATCCGGAGAATTCGACTATATCGTTGTTGGTTCAAGCTTTTGCGGTTTTGCCTTCGTTGATAGGGTGTTGAAGAATAACCCCTATGCAAAAATTCTCATTTTGGAGCGAGGAGATTACTTCCTACCTCAGCACTTTCAAAATCTTCCACTGCCTTTCAGGAACACCCTTGACATTTCTGAAACGTTCCCATGGTCAATTGCGAAAAAGATGCACGATGGAGAGTACATCAAATGGCTACACGGCCAGGTCCCATACTTAGGCGGGCGCTCCGGTATTTGGAGCGCGTGGTGTCCAGAGCCATTAGACGAGGATATGCCTGGGTGGCCAAAGGAAGTTACGAATGCTATACATCATTATTTCATGGATGTAAAGGAGCTTTTAAATGTTATACCAGCCAGTAAGATTTTCGAGAAGGAAGATAATCCGATCTATGGAGTGATGCAGAAGTGTCTCAAAGAAGAGCTGGAGAAGAATAAAGCGAAGCTTCCCACCATCACTAGGATCATTCCTGCGCCGCTAGCTGTTGGTGCTCCACATTTACGGTAAGAAAAATGTTTTATCTTACCAACCGTTTGAAAACTTAGCTAGCAGTCTCCAATTTCATGGCTGTGCAGACCTTAGCATACTTTTTGTCATAAAAGAGCAATATTGTGTTTCTGTAGATAGTAAGGAAAACTTTTATGCCAAAGATGTCTTGCTGTACTAAGGCCAGTTTTTATGCTAAGTTCTGCCTTTCTTTTACCGAAGGCAAGCAACTGCTCTTGGACGAACTACACTTGTGTTGTATATATACAATAATAACACAGCTATTGGAATATACTAAGGCAAACTCTTATGCCAAGCTCTGTAATAACCTGGGGTTGTCCCATATTATTGGTTTTATGATAGGGTCATACCTCATCCATGTATAGGGGACAACATTGGCCTAAAATATGCCTTATTAATGTTGTTCTTGAGGCATTTTATGCCGTTGAGCTCGCCCTTATTGAGTATGCAGGCTCTGCCTCAGTTTACATGCTATACTACAAGTATATTAAAATATTCTTCGAATGAAAAAGTGTGGAATATAGGGATGCCATAAGAAGCAAAGAGGCAAGACAGGGATGACCTAGTGCATGTGATTGATTAGTAGAATGGGATGATGGTTATATCTTCAAACTGACATAGCTTGCTCGTATTATTTTTCCTCCACACAAGCTGTGTATTGTCGCGAAGCATGAGTGTGCTCCCTCATAGAATGACTCATTCCTAAGTACGTAATGCACAGGTGTTGCCCTCTGTGACAGTTCCTGTTGTGACTGCATTGTGTGCAGTCTAAAACTTCTATGTTTGCTCAACTAACGATGAGTTTTTACAATGCTGCGTTCTTGACCCTCCAGAGAGTACTTTTACCATTGTCCTCACACTAAACAAATTCATGTTGTGAGTAAAATTGGTGACAATCATATAGGCTAATGATGGGTTGCATGTGTGTACAAAGTCTTATCATTCCGGGTAATTTGCTCTACCTAGTTAGCACACTTTAATGGTCTATATCATAATGTATCGCCTGGGGCTTTTTTTGTTGTGTTACATGTATACAAATTGAAATGGGGCTATTTTTGTTATTTACATGTAAACAAATTAAAATGCTCTTGCACCACCTGTCTTGGATTTCAATCTTGGTGCAAAGTTTCATCTCCATATCTTACCTGTTTGAGATATTCTTGTCTAAACTGAACAACAACAACGACAACGAGAGAATTTTGAAAACTGACTTTCTTGAAAAAAATCAATTACTGATTATGGGATTGAAGCCATTTCTTGGATTTTTGCTTTTTCACAATACGGATCAGACTGAAGTTGGATCCTACCTGTTTTTGAGAGCTTGTCTAAACTGAACAACAACGACAACAACAAAAACTGACTACTATGCTTATAGATTGAAGCCATTTCTGAGGTACGTGCTGGTCATGAATTTGACTATACGGATCAGATTGATGTCAGAAGTTGGATCTGATTGAAACTGAAAGTGAAACGTACAAATCTCAAATGTATGGGCATAATGCAGGGAAACCTGTGTCATCCCTATATACTAAGTACTACCGTACTTAGTGATACTTCCTGTTATTCTGTTTGCGGGTGAGTTAAATAATCAATGAATACGTTATTGTGGGGACTATACCTATTAGTTATACCAGTCCTGTCAGGGTGGCATGCGCCTTCGTGACTGCAGGAATGCAATTAGTACACTAATTAGTACAAGTGGGCTGCGCCCTCGGGTATATAATATAACTGCAAGCCACCGCAACCGGCGTAACAGGTCATAGTGGAGTCAGTGTACTACCTGCATTTTTAGGCCAGTGCTATTCGCACCTTACTTTGTTTGCAGCCCGGATGGATCATGATCGGAGCCGGACCTCGTGTATGATGCTTTCCACCCGGATGGATCGTGATCGGCGCCGGACCTCGTCTAGGGCTAGGACTAGGACTAGGGCATGGATTGGTTGAGTTTGTCGATGCCCTAGCCCAAGCCCTAGACGAGGTCGGCTCCGATCATGATCCATCCGGGCGGCAAGCATCCTAGACGAAGTCCGGCTCCGATCATGATCCATCCCGGCGGCAAGCATCCTAGATGTCCGGGCCCTATATAGGCGCTAACCGAAAAAATGTGGCAAAAGAATGCAAGCGGTACACAGTCTCCACTATGACCGACATAACTAGTTTATAGCCCAGTAAAACCGGTTTGTGTACGGTTGCGTAAATACGTTTTATTAGCGGGTTGGCGGACGGGATCGTTCTGGAAGGCGCGGAAGCGCGTGTACTAGCTTACGGAGAGTCTGACACGGGCTAGCTACAGTAGTAGATAGCACGCGGGAGTCGATACATGTTGTCTGTTGCGACTTCTTGTGCACTCAACATCCACAGAACAAGTGCACCCGGTCTGTGCCAATTAGCACGTTGACTTGGTTTTCACGCCATAAGTTCTGACGAAAATCGCCATTTAAATAAAGCCAGTGTAGCGCTGAAGCCCGTTGGTTTACCTGTTTGTTGCGCGTGGTAGCAGAAAACGACGGACAGACAGACCAAGTACTGTAACCCTCGCTGTGCATGCGCTCCGAGGTTTAATAAAAGTGAGCTGAATATAGTTATATTTAATCACACCATAGGTTTAACTTAGTCGGAACTCTTATTTGTTGGTGAGTTAAATAATCGATCAGATAATGGTGAAGAAGTGGTGACATAGTTAATTATGAATGATCAGCAATGTTATTATGGGGATTATAGCAGCACACTATAATATTATGATTTGGGTAGTCAACTGAATAAATTATGATGCTGAATAGTATAGTGATGGAGATAGTGAGTATAGTGATAGAGATAGTATGAATAATAGTATCTAGTATCTCAATCACACAGGCCTACATCTTAATCCTGAAACTTTTTGCTTGTCTGGCACCGTCAGCATGAAACAAAGCAACCCATTCATCTGTTTCTTTATGGTAGCTACTCTACTAATGTTCCTTTATACCAAACATCATCATCATATTTGTCCTCCACTCGTTGGCCAATTTTATATTTTAGATTGCCTTAGGACAGAGAGACTATTATTCCCTTGGTTGTAGCTACATACTATGGCATAAAAAGCCCGTTGTACTAGGGAAAACTTTTATGCCTTGCTGACTAAGGCAGACGTTTATGCCAAAGCTGCCTTTCTGTACTAAGGCAGACGTTTATGGCAAAGCTGCCTTTCTGTACGAAGCAGACGTTTATGCCAAAGCTGCCTTGCTGTACTAAGGCAGACGTTTATGCTATGTCTGCCTTTCTGTTACTAAAGGCAAGCCTTTATGCCAACTGCTCTTGTACCAACTACCATTGTGAGGTATACGCAGCTATTGGAAAAAGAATAATTTACTAAGGCAAACTTTCATGCCAAGCTCTTTAGTGACCTGGGGTTACCCCGTATTGGTTTTATGACTGGGACATACCCATATCCATGTAGCTATAGGGAACAACATTGGCTTATAAGTGTGCCTTATAATATTGTTCTCTAGGCAAAATATATGCTGTTGAGCTCGCCCATAGCATTTCATTGCCAGCTAGCTCCCCTTCGATCTATGTGCGTGATATTCGCATGCGTGTCAAGTGCCAGCCACGCCCTTGCATGAAAACTACAGCTGTCAAGACTTCAAATTTACATTGAGATCTTTCTTTTCTTGGCTCAAATGGAGTTTTTTACACAAAAATCATTGGCGGGAAACACTTCGCTACTCATGCATACAGAGGTGATTGCAGTAGATTTTGGCGCTTTGCCCATATACATGCACAGTAAGCATCTCAGTTTTTCAATGTGAGATTAGGGAATAAGGCATTGGTGAAACTAAGGCAAACTATTAACATGTAAGTTTGCACAATGTTTCCTCAGGGTGAAACAGCTATAAGTTAATGTTAAGCATTTTTGGCAAGCGAAAGCGACCCAACTGCAAATATGCAGGCATTGGTGTGGGCGGCAAGGTGCTACGGGGCATTGTGACAAACCTGTACATGCGGGGTAATGATTAGTTCGCTAATAATCTCTTGTAATGTCACATGCAGGTACATTCACTACCACAAGTTTTCGGTGCCTGGCCACCTTCTGAACATACTGGAAGAGCAGAAACGAAAGTGCACTCGTGGCGAAGGTTGGCTAACCAAGCTAGCTACAAACTGCATTGTGGAAAAGATCATCCACCATGAAGAGAAAGCCACAGCTCTAAAGACCAGTCGTGGTGAAATAAAACTTGGCAACGCCAAGCTCATTCTAGCAATGGGGACCCTACCACCCACAACACTCGTCCTCAACTCCTTCCCTAAGTTTCGATTTCAGAGCTTTAAGCATGTTGGAGAGCGTTTCACCGCCCACTTTATTAGTTTCATCACGGGTCGTGTCCCGAAGTCATGTCTTCCCTTCAATGATGTAATGGGCAATTTCGAAATGGGTGCTTTATATATCGCAGGAGTGGACGTCCCTAGAGGACAGTACCACATTCAACTCTCTGCAGTAGCCAATGCAAATCCAGACAAGGATGCTGCTGATGCCCTACGACATTCTCCGGATGTATTTGCTGCACCATCCGACGAGCAGCTAAGGACGTCGAAAGATCACGTCATCTTTGGGTGTGCAGCGCTGGGAGAACTAGATTATCGCAACGACGACAACTGGTTCCGCTTGAACAAAAGTTCGGACATCACCAGCAACGTCGACCTTCAGGTGATTGCAAACGAAAATGATAACAAATTGTGGGACGTCATGGACGAGTCCACCTTTGATGTGATTGAGAAGGGAGTGTCCGGCAGTGATGTCGAGTATTGGCATTCTCAGGGGAGCAGCGGCTCATGGCTGACTCAACGTCCCCCTGCTGACAAGAGACGATCGCCTGGTCTTGTGCATGAGGCGTCTACAATGTGGATAGGTAGTAGCGAGGAAGCCCCCGTCAGACTCGATTATCGTCTTCGTGGTGTGAAGAATGTATACATCACTGGGGCATCCCTGTGGCCCACTGGAGGTTCTTGGAATCCAACTGGTGCTATGGTGGCTCTTGCAATGCACCTTGCAGACAAGCTCTCCAAAGGAAACTGACGAATGCAAGTAGCTACATACAGAGTCAAAGTTTGACAATAATTTATATTCTGTGGGAAACTATAGTTTTAATCGTCTTTTTATAGCGCTCGTGATAGCTATATATTTTTTATATATTTTCATTCCTCTGTCGTTCATTCTCTAAGAGAGAACTAGTGAGCTCTCTATGGCCGTTGCGCCCCTGCGTAGCAAGGGCAGGAACATGCAATGTTCAGAACATGGATACTCTGTTTTTTATCGCAGAGTTCATATGCCAGCGCGTACTGCAAACCATAGCAAAACAGGCATACTGTTTCTTACATTCTTTTATGCAATGTGCTGTTTAGCTGCAGTAAACAACAACATAATTATTTGTCCATCTGTTCAATGAAAGCTTTTCGCCTCAAAATAATTGATTGTTTGCTGACTATCTTCCATACCTACCAACCTGCAGATAAACCTTTACTTCCGAAATGTGTCAAATTTCTTTTAATTTATAGTATTTTTGCTTGCGTACCCATTCATAATGTGTGGGCATATATAATGCATCACATGTTGTCACAAAAAAGATTTCGCGATTTTTTTTGGTGGGATGGACAGTAGTTTAGCTAGATTTATAAGCAAAAACCTAGATTGTTGGTAGGTATGATCTTGTATACACAGTATAAATACCTGGCATTTTATACACTTACTATTATGGCTCTATTAAGAATGTGGTGCCTAGGTATATACAGAGTGAGCCATGACACACTTTAAAAATAACCTTGCATGCACATTTTTGGTGCCATGTAAATGCAGAATTTGCCACGTATGTACAATGGCAAATCATTTGTCACCAAATTAGTATTCCCATTGTGGCGTCACTGTTTGATAATTGCATGCCCACTGTTCAAGTGCAAATCCCATGACAGAAAAAAGACTATGCTGAAAGAAAGGCACTGAAGTCCAAACCTTCGGCGAACTGCGCATGCGCGGTAACGCCAATTGATGGGCTGGGCTATTAGTATGCGTTTCCTCGTGGTCTACAATTGAAGCAAACCATCCACGTAATTGTACCGAAAACAAAAAAGGTGACAGAAACCATTAGTTTATTAGGGCTATTAGTATGCATTTCCTCGTGGTGTACCGCTAGTATAGGTCGCGGAGATACTGACACTGGCTAGCTAAAGTAGTATATAGCTTGCGGGAGTCGATACACTTGTGCTTTCGAGATCACCCGGTCATAGTCTGGTTCCAGGTTCCCAGCCCATTCCCTTTTGTACGCATGCGTGAGAGAGGGAAGGAAGAGTCTGGTACAGAGTTCAAAGGTTTAAAGGTTCAAAGGTTATTATTGTATACACCAGTAAAGGCAGCACATATAAACACACAAAAGAATAATGGTAAAACAAGGCTAGGAACCAGGACTGTTTTGAGATAGAAGTAATTGGTGAACTTGATTAGCAACCAGTAAAATGTCTCTTGTTGGTGCTGATGTTAACAATGTAATAATGTCCTCTTCCTTAGTTGTATATGGATTTCTAGTAGATGTGGGAGCAGGTGGGTAATGCTTTCCCATTCACAGACTGGTCACACCAAGATGTTGCCTACTTTGGGCCATGTTATCACTTTGTACAAGGATTGCAACCTAATCGTTCCATGAACTCCCTCATCAAGCATTACATCCCACAACTTTGACCAACTGACTTCATTTGCAATTTGGGTTGCAATTCTAGTGCTACCTTTCATGTCCCTTCTCCAAGGTTATTTGCCAGTCTTGCTTCATGATTTCGTTGGAAAGGGCTTTTCTTTGACCATCAAATTCTCCAGAAAACACTTTCTCTGTGTATGAGTCCAGTCCAGTGTGCTCCTCTAGGAATTTACACTCATGTGTGAGGGAGAGGTGCAGTGGATGAGAGAAATTGTAAAACTTTGATGCAATTGATTCTGTAGAGTCCATTAACTTCAAACGGAGAATAAAGTTAAGCTTCCTTTATAAGATTCTTGCAGCAACTGAGGGCCACCGCAGAGCAGTTCTGGAGGAATAAGTAGAGTGATATGGAGTGAGCTTGAGAATTCTTCTCCCAATCTCTCCTTGGAAAGATTCCAGCTGGCAGATAAGGGTTGAGGTTAGTTGCCAGTTTTCACAGCCGTACAATAGTATGGGCACAACACATACCTCAAAAAGAGACCTTCCACTTAGCGTGTTAAGATTTCCTTCAAAAGCCTGTGAGCGATGCATAAAGAAAGCTCTTCTCGATTTTGCAATTATTTCATCAATAGCTTTCTTTGCAGACAGGTCCCATGACAACCAAAATCCTAAGCACTTCACTTCCTTGCTAGCAAAAATATCTTGTCCATCAATATTTGTCATCATTGAGTTGGCATATTGTTGAGTGTGGCTACCTGAGGTAAGCACTTCACATTTCTGCATATTAAGACTGAGCCCACTGGAGTGTGCGAAGTTTTTCACCATTTGCACTTGCTTTTCCATACATTTCTTGCTACTGATCAAGGTCCTGATGTCATCGGCATGGGCAGATGCACCCAGGTAGACATCTTTGAATGACATGCCGAGATCTGCTAACTCCATTTGGTTGAGGAGTGGGTCCTGATGACCTGAAACAACAGTGGTGATAAAACTGAGCCCTGTCTGACACCTCTTCCCAGGGAGAAAGCTGCTGAAAACTCCCTACCAACCTTCACCATGCCCTGTGGTGATTGGTACCATGCACGAACGAGTCTCCAGAGCATTAATACTAGCATCAAAGAGACGACACAGTAGGACACCATACTCAACTGAGTTAAACGCTTTTTGTAGATCATAACAACATAGGTAAATAAGTTGTCTCAGACTCGTGAAGGTAGTGTGAAAGCACTTCTGTGGTGGTGAAAAAATGGCATCAGTGCAGGAAACATGCTTACGATACCCAGTTTGATTGATATTTGGAATATTCAGATCTTCGAATACTGGAAGTAACCTGCCAAGTATGAGCGTCTCCAGTAGTTTGGACAGCACAGGTGTCAGAAATTCCTCTGTAGCTTCAGAGGATCTTTGCCACCACCTTTGTACACAGGGCTGATTGCTGCAATATTAAGCGTGTGAGGAAATTATTCTCGCTGAATAATTGTATTGAAAAATTGCAGTAGCCAAACTTTGAGAGCGTGGCCACCATATTTCAGGTGTTCTGATGTTATACCGCTCAAGTCGGCTGCTCTCTTAGGTTTCAATTTTCTGATAGCAGATTCTAGTTCATCCATTGAGAAAGGAACGTCCAGAGCAATCTCTTCATTTCCATAAGTCAGCTCTAGTAAGAGTTTTGCTCTATCATTTGCAGCTTTTACAGTATCGTTTTCATCCCTCGCTTTTCCTAGCATTTCAAAGTGACCCCTCCAAGCCTGAAGTACAGCAGGTGGATCAGAAACAATGTCACCAGACACACGAATGTTTGATCCACACTTATTGGACTTGGAAGTTCCGAATCGGGATGGAAACTTGTTTCTGAAATTACGATCGATTTTCTCAATTCTCTTCCTCTCTTCATTTGCTTTGCATATTTTTATTCTTTTCCTTACTTCATTGCGTAGAGCCTTCTTTCGCTTATGGAGAATACCCTCCCTGGGGCACCCAGCCTCCTTCCATTTATCCCAGGCTTCCTTCTTCTGCTTGCATAAGTTGGAGTGTGTGGAATCTTTATACCACTTATTCTGTTTCTTTGCTGGCTTATGCAGTGGCAAAGTAGATAATGCAGCCTCTTGTATCGACCTTGAAATATATATTATAATGGTCATTTATTTTTTCAACATTGCTATATGAGGCCCCAAGGACTTTTGTGACTGCTTGGGGGATGTGCTCTTGATATATTGAGCATTTCCCAGAAAACACTCCACTATCCCATTTGATCTTCGACACTGCTCTTTCATTATCTCCGGCATGGAGCAGTTGATGTCAGATTGAAAGTTCACAGCTTGTAGGAAGGTGATCAGAGGAGTTAAGGCTGTGATGATCATGGGTATAACAGGAATTGATATATTCTGCGTCCACGGTAGTATGCTTATCAGTATTGAAATAGGTGTACATTAGACCACTACTAGTGGGTGAGAGGGAGGCTGCATACAGAGCGCACCTATCCACCCACTGTTGTATTAGCAAACCTTCTGGGTTAATCTTGTCATTCTTACTGCACACTCCATCATTCAACCCAATATGAGCATTGAAGTCGCCCATGATACACACACAGCCAGCACTTTGAGCTTCGGTTACAAGGCGTTCCATTTCAATCAAATGACTTCCATAGGCTTGAATGTCAGTGCCTGCACAAGGCATGTAAACACCAATGATTGTAAAACTGGTGCTGCATGTTTTGATTCGGATAGCACACAAACAGTCACTCTGTATTCCTGATATTGGAGTCACATCTAAACCTTTTCTCCACAGTATACCCACACCTCCACAACCACTGGTTAGGTTTGAACAATCTGTAAGTCTTTGTCAATAACAAGTCAACTTTGCAGTCAAAACCAGCATGAACTGTCGAAAGCTTGTGTGCTTCGTATGGCCAGAGCCAATGTTCTGTAACAACCAAAACATCTGAGTATCCTCCGCAGAGATGCAGGTATGGTTGACCTGTTTGCAGACCCCTACAATTCCATGTGGGTTTTCTTAGCCTTACTAGATTCGCACTCCCTTTGTGGTGACTTGGGGGGTAATTTGTTGGATGTGGGGAGTTGGCTACATTTTTGGTCCCACAATTGGCTATATCCCGTGTCTTGAGGCAGGGCAGTTAGTGCTTGGTGCAAGTTGGACTTGGAATAGTCACTTGGCATACATCGGAAGCTTCCTCTTTAAGATTATATTTAGAACTTTGCACCTTAGAATCTTAGAAAGATTTGATTTGCAAAGTGATTGTGGTAACCGGTTACCAATTCTATATAGTTTACAAAAGAGCTCAATAAGCTGAAAGCTCAAGTGTATATATCCCAGGCAGCTGATATAGGTTATTCAATTCAAGTTGTAATTGGCTAACTTGAGCTTTCAGATTATTGAGCTCTTTTGTAAACTCCAATGATTCCAGGGGGGGGGGGGGGGGGGGGGGGGGGGGGGGGGGGGGAGGTGATAGGTTTCTGTTCCCTAGAGATTTTAGGTGGTGGAACATTTGGTGTCAGTTCAACAGCGACAGGGACACAATGAGGTGGCATGGAGAAAGTAGGATTTGAATTTCTTTGTCTATCATATTGGTCCACAGCAACACCACATGTGTCACATTGGGATAGGAGTGTAGACGTGTTGTTTTGAACAACTTCTATACGTGAAATGTGACTATGCTCACCACAATGTGCGTTGTCACGGGTATTGGGTTGACCACCAGCACAGGGCTGCATTATGTCATTTGCACTAGAAATTGAGTCATTTGCGATTCTAAATTGTTTATTCCTTGCTGATGTAAAATGTTCCTGAGATTTTTTCCCATTTCTCAAAAGTGTTCTAGGGACTGTGATACCGTT